CGTTTTTCCGGCAATCCGAAGCCTGTGCCGAGGCCCCACAGGGCTACAACAGCAGGCACCTCCGCGCGCTTTCCTGAATACAAGAAAGGCATTCTCAGCGCGGCCGTCGAAGCAGCTACTACATGCGCACAACAGGCGACCGCTGGGCGCGGTCTTCAGCGATCGGTCTCGGCTGCTTCTCGCCTTCAGCTTTTACACCGTCCGCTTTGGGGCTACTTTGCCGCGCGCCTTGTGGTCGCGTTTCCTTCCATGATGGAGCATGGCCGCTCTCTTGAACCACGTGGGCGATGGTGCCACATCCTCACCTACTTGCGCGGCTGCTCCGCGGCTTAGGCCTTCGCTTACCTCGAGACCGTTGCGAACGGATGGGTAACATCTCACCGCGCTATTGAACCTCCCGGTCGCCTGGCATGCCGTCTGGGCTGCCGCGGTGCTTCCGACCGGCTCAAGCACCACCTGGCCCGCGACCCGTTCCGCCAGATCGTCGAACAGGAGATCGGCTACACCAGACCGCGCTCGCCGCTGGGGCGCCATGGTGTTCTTGGTAGCGCCGTCTAGCTGGATCGCGTCGTCTTTGACATCGCGGTCATCTGCTACGCGTACGCGTCCGCGTCCCACGCGGCCCCAGCCCTTCCATGGTCGGCCTCGCTGGTCAGATCCCATGTTCGCGCTGCTATTCGGACGGCCAAACTTGGTGCGACTTCGGCGACTCGTGCCCCTCTGCTTGCTCGCGCTCCTCGGCCGCGCTCTCGTCGCATGCCCATCCTGTCGGCGCAATCATCGACTTCCAGTTCGACGTCCTCGTCCTCTTGCTCATCATCACCCGTGGCTTCTTCGCCGGCCCCGCCTTCATCGTCGCGCCGTTCGCTCGGCGTCGCCCTGGGCGCTTTCGACCTGGCCAGCGACTCTCCCGACAGAGACTTCGGCTCGGGCGAGGAGAGCGCCCTTCCCAGCGACGGCCAAGGATCGCTCCTGCGGACTTCGCAGCGACGACAGTCGACGCCCCTCGCGGCGACCGACAACCACGACAACCCCCACACCCACCCCCCTCCAATCCAACCCCTGCCAGCAGTCTTGACAGCACCCCAAGACATTGGCCACCCACGCGAATCTGACGGACAGCTGGGCCACGTGCGGCTTACATCAAGCTTCGGCGCGGGTCCGAGGGGCGGCGGGGCAGGGCGGCCACTGCTCGCGCCTGCCAGCGGATGCGACGAGGGGCAGGGGGGGGGCGATGGTCGGACACATCCCGCGCCCCCGCGGCCCGCCCAAGCTCGCCACCGCCGCCGCGTCCAAGGCGAAGGAGGAGGCTACCCGACTGCTCAACCCGAGCAGGGCCACTGGACCAGCAACCCGACACCACCCACCTCGACGACTATTCCGACCCACTCCTGCTCCGAAAAACAGGTAAAGGCAAACGTAATTTCTGCGTGTGTGCGTGTGTGGGTGTGTATATGTGTGTGTGTGTGTGCGTGCGTGCGTGCGTGCGTGCGTGTGTGTGTGTGTGTGTGTGCGTGTGTGTGTGTGTGTTCTTTTTTTTGTTGTGTGTGTGCGGGGGGGGTATGTGTGTGTGTCTGCGTGTGTGTGTGTGTGTGTGTGTGCCCGGCTCTGGGCTGCTTGGCCTGCTTCCGCCCTCTTGCGCTCTGTGCCGCCCCGCGCCCCCCCCTCGTGCCCGCGGGGCAGCGCCTGCTGCTGAGGTTGGCCCGCTTGGCCTCTTCTCTCCTTGCACGCACCTCGCAGGCCAGCTGGTCTCGGTGCTCCAGCCTCTTCCTGGGCCGTGCTCGGTCCAGGATTGGGTCCCGCTTCGTTTTATCATCACCGCCAGCTGCAGTTCTTGGCTGCTCCCGCCAGCTTCAGCTCAGCGAAGTTCAGTACAGCCTGTGCCGGCGCTGCCCCCCCCAGCACTGTCCCCTGCCGCTGCCGGTAGCTCTGAGTGGCCTGGCTTCCTCTCCCCCCGTCGCGCCTGGGCTCCTGCTCCTCCTCCTCCCGTGCATTGCGGCTTTAATAATTTGCGTACAGCGTGTCCCTTGTTGCCAGTCCGCCAGAGCAGTCGACCTCTGCCCGGCCGCCGACGCAAAAGTGTGTGTGTGTGTGTGGTGTGTGTGTGTGTGTGCTGAGTGTGTGTGTGGTGTGTCAGTGTGTGGTGTGTGGTGCGTCTGTGCGTTTGTGTGTGTGTTGGTGTGTGTGTGTGTGTTGTGTGTGCGTGCGTGCGTGCGTGCGTTGGCGTGCGTGCGTGCGTGCGTTTGCGTGCGTGCGTGCGTTGGCGTGCGTGCGTTTGCGTGCGTGCGTGCGTGCGTGCTGGCTCGTCCTGGCCCCTCCGAGCCCTGGTCCAAACGCCCGTGGCCCCTGGCGCAAAGCCATGAAGGAGGTGGGTGGGCATTGCAGAACAAAGAGAAGCTCAGTCGTTCAGCACCTCGGCAGGGATGAGCGCTTCCTTCCCTCGGGGCCCTTCCTCAGGCGGCGGGGATGAGCGCTCTTTCTAAAGGTGAGGGTGTAGGCGCGCGAGGCGGCAGACGAGGGCTGCGGTGGTCTTGCCCTCGGGCCGATATAGATTGACCTCGGATGACTCGGCCAGGCCTTTCGGGATCGCTGATGAAAAGTCGCTGGGACCCAGGATTTTCGACGATGCGATTTCCCCCATCCGCGGAGCCCAGAAGTCTCGACCCCTTCCCTGGGGGAAGCTTTCTGTTGTCCTGGATCCATTCTTGATGCCCCGAAGGCTACCAAAACCGACACCCGAGAGTGGCAGCCGAGGAAGCGCCGCGGTCGAAATGGTCAACCCTCCACGTATTTGGAGATTGTTTTTCAGGGTGTGACGATAAAGCAGGTTATCGGGCTCGCCCGCCCCCCTCGTCCCCCTCGAGTGATTTGATCTGGTCGGTCGCGCAGGTCCAACGGGGGTACGCAGCATAAGTGCGTGCGAGCATATGTGGGGCTGCCAAGAGGCATTCCCTTGGTACCCCGAAGCCGTCAGCCGAGAGTGGAAGCCGAGGACGCGCCACAGTCGGAACGGTCAGTCTGCCGGATGTTTGCGAGGAAACAAGCCGGTATAAGCATTGAAGTTCGACGGTCAGCGCCGATGTATTGGATTTGCGCTGTACCCCCCTGGCGGCGCCTCTGGCGACGCCCCTGGCGACGCCCCTGGCGCGCAGATCCAAGAAGTCCGCGCGATCCGTCGAAACTTCATGTTGATGCAGTCTTGTTTTCCTGTACCCTCAGATCAGACGTTTCCAACAAAATGCAGCATCGTAGAAAACTGTCACAAAAGCTCTGGACCCAATCTTCCTGCGCCGTTTCGCGAGGCCGATCGATCTGTGAGGGCCCCAGGGCCGACACCAGGCGAAAACGCCCGTTGTGGAAGAATTGCAACGCCAGGATCGCAGGGTATGTTTTCAGGGGTTGCCAAAGGTGCCCCAGGGGCACCTTTAGCAAACCCCTGGGGCCCTCTGGAACTCGTGAGGGGTTCTCCTGGAAATCCTGGAGCACCTTGGGCCAGGGGCCCATCTAACCGCAGTAATACATTAAGAACCCCCCGGGGTTATCGTTTGCACCGCACCGTAATTAAATAATTCTTGGGGGCGGGTTTCGCGGAACGATATCTTTAGCACCGCGTAGAAGAAAGGAACATAACTAATTCCCGCGCCTTGGCTCGGGCGGCATCCCAATGGGAATATGTAGGATTCTTAGATTGGAGGTGAGGGGGTGAGATCGAAGTGGAACGGAGAGCCCCCCTACCGGGAAATCGATTTCGGTTTCGTGTTCGTGCGTGCCGTGCGTGCGGGCGAGGCGAAGCTGCGTGGGCGGGCGAGAAGAAAGTCTCCTGTGGCTGAGGCGCGGCCGGACCAAATGTCTCCCTTCCGGGCGGCCGGTGGCCCGCGGTGTCCCGCCGGTGTCCCGCTGGTGTCCCGTGTGGCTGAGGCGCGGCCGGACCAAATGTCTCCCTTCCGGGCGGCCGGTGGCCCGCGGTGTCCCGCCGGTGTCCCGCGGTGTCCCGCGGTGTCCCGCGGTGCCCCGCGGTGTCCCGCGATGATGATGATGATGATGATGATGATGATGATGATGATGATGATGATGATGATGATGATGATGATGATGATGATGATGATCATGATCTGATGATCATGATCATGATCATGATCATGATCATGATCTTGATGATGGTGATGGTGATGGTGATGGTGATGATGATGATGATGTTGATGTTGATGATGATGATGATGATGATGATGATGATGATGATGATGATGATGATGATGATGGTGATGGTGATGCTGATGCTGATGCTGATGATGATGCTGCTGGAAATGCTGATGCTGATGTTGATGCTGCTGATGATGATGATGATGATGATGATGATGATGATGATGATGATGCTGATGATGATGATGCTGATGATGATGATGATGATGATGATGATGATGATGATGATGATGATGATGATGATGATGATCGAGTGAGATCGAGTGTGAGATAGATCGAGTGAGATCGAGTGAGATCGATTGTGAGATCGATCGAGGGAGATCGATCGAGCGAGACCGATACTGAGATCGATAGTGAGATCGATAGTGAGATCGATAGTGAGACCGATCGAGTGAGACGTTGGTTCCTCCCCCCCCCGAACCTCCTTATCACCCGAAGGGTGGTCGTATAGGTATTCCTATTTCCCAATAGGACTCCCCCAATAGGACTCCCCCATAGGACTCCCCCATAGGACTCCCTATAGGACTCCCCCACAGCAGACTCGTCTGCGTTCAGAGCGAGGATGTCTCAGGCGAGGCGCTTGATTCAGAACCACACGGAGGACAGATTGCGAGAATGTTTCAGGCGGTTTCTTCGTTTCGGCGGGCAGACTCGTCTGTCGTCAAAGCAGGTTGCGAGGTGCCAGGGTAACGCTTCCAGGGTGCTGGAGCGTTATACTTTCGCCGGGGAGGGGGTGGGCTGCTTTCTTAATTGCCTCTCAGGGTTAAGTAGCAACACCCGATGCTTGTGGCCCGCTCCAGCCCCACCGCCTCCGAGTACGAGGAGTTGTTCCAGCACTACTGCCCGGCCGCCGAGGCGGCGCCCGCCAGCGCCACGGGCTCCCGCAGTCCGGCCGCCGGAAGCAGCAGCGCCGCGTGCCGCAGCGGAGGGGGGGGGAGCTACGACTGGGGCCGATCGCAACCACTGCGGGCCGGCCGTCGACCACTTCGGACTGATCACAGCCGGTCGTGCTCGGGCAGGACTGGATGCGATTTTCGGGGGAAGTTGCAGTATGCTGTAGTATTGTTGTGATCACGGGAAGGCTTTTTAGAGCGCTTCTGGATGCAGTGAGTTTCCTTCTGGATGGGGAGGTTCGTTTCTCTACCAAAAGTCTGGAGTTGCCAGCTGGAGAGCGTCCTTTTATATGAATCGCGTCGCCACACCGCCAGCCCAAATCGATATCACTGGCCTTCGGCCCATCTCGCCACCTTACCTGGGTGGTGGGTCTGAGGCCTCTTGGATGTTCGTCGGGATCTCGTCGAGGCCTGTCGGGGTTCTGGTGAACTGTGTCTTATTCCCTGATGATCACGGGCGTGACCCAGGGGGGAGGGAGGGGGGGACAGTGCCGATCGCGCCACGGGTCGCGCCGGCGCCGTGTGGGAATGCTTAGCAATCGCTCATTCCCACGGTGCTGGGGCGAATCGTGGCGTGATCAGTGGGGGGAGGGGGGGGTGGCGAGCAGCTGTGTGTCCCTGGGTCGAGGTAAGGCGTTCTAGAAAGGGCTTCCCCTTTGAGAAGCGAAGGGGTTGGCATCTCCTCCTCAGCGGAAGGTGGCGGAATGGCGGCGGAAGGAAAACGACGGCGGCTCCGCCAGCGAGAGTTGGCGGAAGGGCGGCGGAAGGCGGCGGAAGTAAAAGATGCGCCCCAAAGAGATGACAACCTTTTTGTTGGTTCAAAGCTTGTGGAACCCGCCACGTGTCCTTCAAGATTCCCGAGGAGGCCCCCCCACGGCCTCCAGATCACCCTTCCAACTGGGGCTCCAGAGGGCCCAGGGGCGCCAAGATTGAGCGAGAATCTAAGGACACCTGCTCGCGGGCTCACAAACAGTGCTTGCTTGCATTTCGGGGTTCTTACTAATCTTCCTCGAGGAATTGGATGGGTCAGCTGATGTTTCGCCTGGTGCCCAGCTGGTGGTCGCCCTAGGGCGCCTCGTGGGCGCCTGATGTTGGGTGGGTCAGCCGAGGTTTCGCCCGGCGGCCGCCCGTGGACACCCCGTGGGCCCGTCGTGTGCTGGGTGGGCGTGCCGAGCTTTCGCCTGGTGCCCGCACGTGGGCACCTCGTGGTGCTGGGTGGACAGCCGGGCTTGCGCCCTGTGGTCGCCCACTGACGCCTTGGGGGCGCCTCGTGCGCTCGATTGGTGTGGTGGGGTTTCGTCCGGTGCGGTGCCCGCCCGTGGGCGCCTCGTGGGCGCCTCGTGCGCTGGGCGGCCGCGTAGACGGTACTGCGTACTTTTGTTCCCCCAGCGTAACTAACACAACATAGCTTGCACCACGTAGCTTACGCCGGACAGCTTACAACAGACAGCTGGCACCACACAGCTGGCACCACAGATGATTTGCTGCACAGTTTGCACAAGATAGCTTGCACCACGTAGCTGATACGACATATCTTGCACCACATACATTGCGCCGCGTAGCTTACACCACAACCCAAGCCCAGATGTCTAGAAATGGATACAGCAGAGGCGCATCGACGTGCAGTGCGCTCTAGAAACACAAGTCCCAGAGAACCACCACGAGAAACGTTAGAAGTACCGTTGGTACTTCACAGACGAATCGCGCGTTCAGCCAGGAGGCCGCTTCTGCGCTGATGTAGCCACGGCTAACGAGTGTGCGAATGACGTTCTGGATGTGCAGGCAGTAAACAGTCGAATGGTGTACCTCGTGTTGAACTACGCTGCCCCTGTTACCATAATGGGTTGTTACAGCCCCAGTGCGGCGACGCCGACAGGCATCAAACTAGCCTTCCATACAAGAGTGCAGCAACTGCCTGGGCAGCGTTGCGAACGCGGCCTGGTCTATTGATATTTGCTGTTCAGCGCGGGAGTCCAGACGAATCTTACGCCAGACAGACGAAGTGCACAATAACCGATCGTTATTGATCTCCCATTTGTGAAAATTAAATAGGCGAGGGTGTGATATTTAGGGTGATCATGAATTGTCTTTCCTTTCCGCCCGTGGCCGTTGTGGCTGGGCGGGAGGGAGGACGCACCTACTCACGTTTTAGCCTGACTACGTAGATAAATATTCATATAGTATTTTACCTTGTGCTTGCATCAAGTACTGGTGGGAGGGATATTGTGATCTGTATTCGCACTGGTAGCCTGGAACTGGATCAGTTCTACGGTTGCGAGATTGGCCGTGCAGATATATGTTGGCGCTCAAGACTCCCGTAGTGTTTTACCATTGCGCACTTCCTTCAGCGATCAACGCGCTGAACATCATCACCCGCAGCCTGGCCGAGAATCGTTGCCACGACCCGGACAGCAGCAGGGACAACGATATCTACTACGAGCTGGACGGAAACGCCATCTTCAGAGACGGCGACGCGATCATCAGAGACGGCAGCATCACCACTACAGAAAATCGCGACCAGGCAACAGCAGCCCAACAACGGACCCCTCTTCGTGGTCAAAGAGGGATCCTCGGCTACTATGCGAGCGAAGAGAAGCTGCAGAAGCTCTACGCGATCAAGCTCCAGAATTTGTTATGGGCGAGCGTGGAACCTCACGAGGAGGAGGGCCGAGATTGCGACGCAAACAGTGTTGAACAAAGGAGGTGAAGACCCACTTGCTGCAGTGAAGCTGGCGGTGGCAACAGGCGAGCGGATCGCCCCACTACAGAAGCAGCAAGTTTTCGAGGGGTATTTCTTCAAAGGCTTTCGCAACATGTCTGAGTCTGTGCAGGACTACATATCTAGGCGGGAGACGGAGTATGAGCGGCTCAAGTCTCTATCAGCAAGCACGACGGCGAGCGAAGACCTGCGGACGTACTTCCTATTTAAGTTGACCAATGTCAGCTTGACCGAGCACGAGGCTATTCCAGGGCAGTGCAACAACGAGTGCATATGGGATGGCGCGACGACGGCGATGTTCATCCAGCTGAACACGACGTGCAGAGACAACCGTGGCCACGGACGTTATGGAGCATGCCCCCGGCGGACTACGACGATGACGAGGAGGAAGCCCTACTCGGATACGAGCGCGGCGTGCGCGACGAAGACGGGCTTCTGAGCGATGAAGGTTGCGACGCGCTGGCAGCTGACATCGACGAGTTCGAAGGCGCGATTGGCGGCGTCGACCCCGAGGAGATCAGCCAGGAGGAGGGTGGCGCACTGGCGGCTGAGGCACAGCGTCTTGGGTGGAAGGCTGGACCGACTGGTCGCAGGCCCAACTGCAAGCAAGCTCGGGAGAGGCCCGCGCAGAGCAAGTCCAATCGAGGCTGGAAGGCCAACATCAACAAGCAAAGATCCATCAAGATGGGCGGCAAGGAAGCCGAAGAGAAGCTACATAAGATAGTGGCCCGCACGAAGTGCAATGCATGCCGCGAGAAGTGTCGCCGGAAAGGCGACCGGGAGCGCGACAAGACAAGGCTATCAGGTGGTGGATCATCGAGCAGCCTACAGCGTGGAGGACGAGGTGGTGGCCGAGGTTTTCACGGGCGACTTGGGGGTTTTCAACGACGTGCTGGGTTTGCGATGGCAGCGGCGATGAAGCTACTGATGGCGGACAGCTCAATGGGCATGACTGCCGTCCAGATCGCGAAGGATCAGCTGGCGCGCATGGAGACCACGATGGAGGAGATCGCGAGTCTGACGAAGGTGAGGATCGACGCCGATGAGCAGATCGCGAACGCCTGGGCGGTATCAGCGCTTGGAGACGACCGAGGCACGCGAGACCCCGAGGGTAGTGATGACCAAACGCCGGGATCCTGATCAGGACAGACATGGCCCAGCAGATCGAACACTGAATACCATGGGGAAGATAGCGCAGCGGCAGACCTACAGAAGATCAAAGATCGGGCAGCAAAGATCGCAGCCTTATGGGTCAGCTGTGAGAACATGGAAGCAGCTTGCCGGGGTTGCATGGATTGGCGCGTGGACTAGGCACTACACCGGATCCACCAGCTCATGCGCATCACGATGGAGAAGGCACCACAGGGGCTCAGGAGCCTGGCGTGCGACCTGTGCCAAGCATCCTGGGACAGTACCTCGGAACTACGAGACATCGCAAGGAGCGCCTGCGAGCGCCTACCTCATGGAGCGCGACCGACATGGATGTGGACGGAACGCAGAACGGGCACTGATTGCAGGCCCACAGAGGATCGCACACAATTATCTGGCTTGCGCGTGGAATGCGAGGAGCTGGAGGAGACCGAGGCCTACGCGATAAGGAAAGGACTTATTCCAGATGGACACGCTGTACTGGGCGCGGCGTGCCTACGTGGATGCGGAGGCTCGCTAGCGTTGGACGGCTACGCTGAGGACAGCAGGGCCACTGCGAGGACGAGGGGCTCATCCATGCGCTTCCGAGGCGTGAATGACGCCGCCCCGGCGATGGCGGAAGGCGAGCAGGAGGCGGCAGCGGGACTTGCAGGAACCGGTGTGAATCTACGGTTCCAGAGGCCGCCGAAATCGAGGGCGCCGATACTGCTAAGCATCCACCAGATGGAGGAGCCAGATACAGCGCTGTGCGTGAAGGAGCGGAGGCCAGACTTCACAGCGATCAACAAGCACGGGGCGCCGCTCAGCAAGACCGAGGAGGGGCGCCCGGCGATCTCACTTAAGGACTGGCCGAAGAAAGAACGACCAAAACAGTGCCATCAGTTACGACGGGTGAGATCGACATCTGGACCGCGGAGGCGCAAGAGATAGACGAAGGCTTTCTACGACGGCAGCAGAGAAAGCAGATCGAGACGCGGGAGAAATAGTTGCAGGACAAGCTCGACCAGTGCCAGCAGGTCGCGGAGACGCTAAAGGCGGACCCAGAGGAGAAGCGGCCTATCATATGTGAGCTCGATGCCGGCGGCACGGCGGCCGCGTCGGAAGCTCAGCAGCGGCGACGCCCTACTACGAGACCAGCGAAAAGTGCTGAAGCAGCTGGGCGAG